GGATCACCTCCTTGGACCTGCTTGAGATGCATCTGTGGTGATGTCCTCCTAAGGGGGACAGAGGGAGCAATCTGTTATCCTGACCCTTTGACCTGGGAGGTCTGCTGCCTCTTGAGAGCCTGTATCAGGGATGTAGCTGAGAGGATCCCAAAACTCATCTGGCCCTCTGACCACTACCCTACTCTCCTTATTCATGTGGGCACAAATGACGTGGCTCGGAGCAATCCCAGCTGGGTCATGAGTGGCTACAGGGCTCTGGGAGCAGAGCTCAGGGGTTTGGGGGAGCAGGTGGTTTTGTCCTCGATCCTTCCAGTTATGGGTCACAGACAGAGGAGAGAGATATGAATCAAGGCAGTAAACAGAAGACTGCGGCACTGGTGTTACCATGAAGGCTTTGGTTTTTACAACCACAGTCCACTCTTTGGAGAGAGAGGCAGTGGTCTGTTGGGAAGAGGTGGCTTCCACCTCACTCCACTGGTTGAAGAAACTCTTCTCAGCCAGACTGGCTGACCTGCTTGACTGGGCTTTAAAACTAAGCTTGCTGGGGGATGGGTGGACAACCACCAGAGTAAGCTCACCAAGTATCAACCAGAAAATTGGCAGGTTAGAATGCTTAAGGGAACCCACTCCTACCCCAGCCCAGGAACAGAGCTTCTCCATGAGTGCAATGAAGCCTAGGGTCTCTAACAGCACACTTACTTGCCTGTACACTAATGCTAGGAGTTTGGGGAATAAACAGGAGGAACTGGTTCTTCTCTTAAACAAAAATGACTACAATCTTATAGGGATAATGGAGACCTGGTGGGACTCCTCCTATGACTAGACTACCGGTATAAATGGCTATACCCTGTACAGGAGAGAACATGCTGAAAAAAGGGGCAGAGGTCTGAAAAAAATGCCTTAAACCTGAGACTGGCACCCAAGGAGGCCAAGTGGACACCCTTTGGGTTAGAATATGAGGGGAATGTAGTAAAGGGGATACAATGGTAGGATTCTATTAAAGACCTCCAAACCAGGAACAAGTGCTTGACCAAGAATTTGCCAGGGAACTGGCTGAGGCTGCACACTCTTGGTACATGGTTGTCATGGGAGACTTCAAGTACCCAGACACATCATGGAATGATCATTCAACCAAATCTGATTGGTCATAAAGCTTCCTTACATGCGTGGATGAGCTCTACCTGTTTCAAGAAGTTTATGGGCCAAAAGAGGCAAGGTGCTGTTGGACATGGTACTGGCCAAAGGGGATGACTTAAATCAGTGACCTAAGAGTCGAAGGGAAGGAAGGGGAAGCTGGGTGACAGTGGCCGTGAGTTGATCACTTTCACTATCCATTGCAAAGCTGGCAAGTGAGTCAGCAATGCAGAAGTCCTGAACCCCCCTCTCTGTGAAATCATGGCCTATCAGGGCCTCAAGAAAAAGCCTCCTGAGCTTATGGAAGTCAGCTTTCCTAAAGTCAAGGACCTGGTCATAGAAGGAAATGAGCATGGTCAAGCAAGACCTACCCACAACAAACCTGTGGTGCCCATCTTCAAGAAAAGGAGGAAAGAAGACCCCAGAAACTATAGGCCAATCAGTTTGACCTCAATCCCTGGAAAGATTTTGGAAAAAATTATCAAAGAAACCATTCTTGAGAGGCAAACAGAGGGCAACATTCTGAGGGATAACCAGCATGGGTTTGTTGCAGGTAGGTTTTGCTTTACCAATCTCATTTCCTTCTATGACCAGGTGATGCATTACCTGGACAAAAGGGAAGAGGTTGATGTCATATATTTGGACTTTAAAAAAGCCTTTGACCTGGTGTCTCATGATGTCTTCATGGGAAAATTGGGCAACTGCAGTCTCAGCTACTCCACAGTCCAACGGCTGGGGAACTGGCTCCGAGGTCAGAGCCAGAGAGTGGTAGTTGATAGAACTGGTACAACATGGCACTCGGTGACTAGTGGTGCCCCCCAAGGCTCTGTTCTCGGACCTGTACTCTTTAGTGTCTTCATAAACGATCTGGACACTGGTGTCAAAAGTGGACTGGCCAAGTTCACTGACAACACCAAACTGTGGAGAAGAGTTCCACCCTTGAGGATAGGCTGATGATCCAGGCTGACCTTGATAGGCTTGCAAGGTGGGTGGATAAAAACCTGATGGCATTCAATACAGAGAAATACAAGGTTCTCCACCTTGGGAATGAACACTTACATCACACTTATAGGCTTGGCAATGCTACACTCGCTAGCACCATGACTGAAAGAGACTTGAGGGTCATGATTGATGAATATGAGCCACCAGTGCAATACTACAGCTGGCAAAGTGAACAGAACTCTGGCTTTCATCTACCGATGCATCTTGAGCAAGACCTAGGATGTCATCTTCCCACTGTACTCCAGCTTGGTGAGGCCGCAGCTGGAGTACTGCATCCAATTCTGGGCTCCACAATTTAGGAAGGACGTGGAGAAACTTGAAAGAGTCCAGAGGAGAGCCAAGTGCATGATCAGAGGACAAGAGAACAGGCCTTATGAAGAGAGGCTGCAAGCTATGGGACTCTTCAGCCTGGAAAAGCACAGGTTCAGGGGTGTAAGCACCTACTCTGGACTCTTTCAAGAAATATATGGATGCTTATCTTGCTGGGATCCTTTGACCCTAGCTGACTTTCTTGAGCAGGGGGCTGGACTCGATCTCCTGAGGTCCCTTCCAGTGCTAATGTCTATGAAATCTATGAAAAATGCAACACTCCTTTTGCAGGAATTTCAGCCCTTTGATATGACTGCCTGTGCTGAAGTAGAATGAAACAGTCAAAACAGTTAAAATATTGAAATATCACACAAAAATTCTGCGAAGTTGCAAATGGGAATTTTAAAATTTCAAATTAAAAAGTGAAAAAACTTATTTTTTTTATGATTTTCCTGATTGAAGAACTTGGAGGGAGGGGGGAAGGGGGGGGAGAGAGAACCGTGTCACATTTTCCCAATGAATTTAGTCTAAACCACATTTTTCAAGGTGCAGATTTCTGCTGAAAATTTTTGATCAATTAAATGGAACAAAAAGACAATCAATTTTATAGCACAAGAGTATGGAATTAAGAGAAAAGCATCTTGCCTCTGACTTCTGGGTGTTAAAAATCCAGAAACACATGTATCCAGGGCCACATATATCTATGTTCCTATGCTGCCTGCATCTTGGGCAAGCCTTGTACTTCTGGACTTTCTTTTCCACTTTAATTTCATTTTTCAGAAAGTTTGCATGTAATTTGGTTGATCTTTCTCCCCTTTTCCATCCTCTTAAAGACTTTTGAAGCAAAAATTCATCACCTCGAGACAAGACCTAGCAAGAAGCTTCGTGAAGGGGCCAGCGAGCTGGAGTATTTTGTCCGGTGTGAAGTCCACAGCTCTGATCTTACCACTTTCATCAGCTCCATCAAAAGGGTGTCAGAAGATGTGAGGAGCACAAAGGAAGACAAACGTAAGGAACTTTCAGACTCAAGTCAAATGTGGGGAATAAGCATTTCAAATGGAGGTACAGGGATTTCATTTTTTACAGGTGACTGTGACAGGATCAGAATTTGAACAAAACAAAATACCTCTGCAGTGAGCCCAAACTCCTCAAAATTCCCTCTCTTATTCTGTTCCCTCCTCCCTTTCAGGGGGATCTGATTCTTTCTTCCAGGCCCAAATGCCAACAAGAGTAGAAGTTTATTGCTAAAAATGAAGCCCTTTCTACACAGCTTCCATAGTGATCATAGGATCAATAAACACAGGCATACAAGAATCATAAGAAACAAAATTTATGATGGAGTGGGGTGTATCCTATACAAACCCTTTGATTCTCTCTAACTAAGTAACTGGCTACTACCTGAGGGACCATCTTCCAATTTCCAAGTGTTCTGAATAAGAGAGTGCCTCTAAATTATAACTTATTACTACAGGTGCCAATAACTCTGTAAGAATTTAGAGCATAAAGAGCCCTATGGAAGGTGTTCTTTCCACATCAGTAAGCTCCCAAAGATTAACTGCTTGTCTGTAAGCATTAGTTCTTAGAAGAATTCTCTCTAGTTAGGATAAAATATACTTCAATAATGCTTTAAAAAACTCAAGAGGTTTCTCTAGTCCACGTGGTTACAAGTCATGGAAGAACCATTAGGCAGATGAAGTAGAAGGTAGTGCTAGTAGTTTATAAAAAACAAACAAACAAAAAAAAACTATACTGGTAACTTTAGTTGAGTACTGTTGAGACCCCTATATTAAAAAGAATAGGGTGAAACTATCCTGTTGGTGTCAAGAGAATCAGCAAGTGATTTAAATACAATACTTCCTCAGCCTTTCTATTTGGGCTGGATAGGGAACACCTCCAGTTAAACATGACCAGATAGTGGGAAAAGAAGAGCAAGAGATGAAGATGATGGAAAGCAGTTTGTCGTGGGGTCTTTCTTCTTACCACAGTTAGACAAAAAGGATTATATAAATGCATTCCCCGAGTACTACCTTAGTAATAATAGGTTCCTGTTAACTCCTTTCACATTTCTTATGGTTCACTATTACCTGATCATTGTTGTGTCATCTGAGCTGGTGATACAGATGAATAACCTGTCCAAGACATCAGTCCCTATCTAATGGTGGAGATAATTATGATGATAAAATGAAGGAGTTCTCTCATCACCTACTTAGCTTATGAGGACTTGAGCTTCAGCAAAAGGAGAAATAGGAAGTGAGAGAGTCCTGTAGAATCTTAGGTGTCTTATTAGGGCAATATATTTTTGCTCTTGCAGGCTGGAGGTTGGTTTGAGTGAGAACCAGTTTACTCCTGGTTGTTTCCTTATGTAAAGGAATAGCATAATATTGGGAGGCTGGAAGAGAAGCCATACTTAACTGTGAGATGGGGTCAGCATATTATGCCTGGCTGGGGGTAGAGATATGAGAGGGATCATTCGGAGTCACAGAACAGCCAGCAAAGCAGAGTACATTATGCTGTTTCCTCTCTCTCTCTTTTTTTTTTTTTTTTTTTACAGTTCATTGGTTTCCAAGAAAAATCTCTGAATTGGACAAGTGTCACCACTTAGTAACCAAATTTGATCCAGATTTGGATTTGGATCACCCGGTGAGTTAGTCTCTCTGAACACATCTTTGCTTCTCAGTCATGTGTCTTTTATCAGAAACAAAAACATGGAAAGAACCCATTATCGAAACCAGTAAGGAATTCTTCAGGGGAAGATCTCTTTTGGGGGAGAAAAGCTAGTTCGACAAAGCTTCAACTGTTCACAGGAAAGCACCAATTCCAATCGATATAATTTAGAGATAATGGGAGGGAAGTTTTGAAATTTGGAACTGTCCTGTTTCATTATTTTGGAAATGAAAAATTCCAATTTTTATTTCAAAATTCAAGCAACTATAGTAAAAAAACATAACACACACAAAGATGAAATGCAAAAAAAAAATCAAAATAGTTGAAACAAAGCAAATAGTTTCAAATTTTTCACTGATGAATATTTTTGAGATTGTCTTTTAGTCAATGTAGAAGAGAAAATCATTGTTTACATAGATAGCTCTTTTAGCAATTGCTGTAAACCCATCTGCCTTTTCCCCCTCCCCGCAAGAAAACAGATTCAGTTTCATATGGTTTCTTTGGTGATAGAGAAGGGACACTGATGCTTTATGTTGGTTTGAAGGGCTTAGTGGATGAATAGAGGTGGCACACATTGGGTTGGGATTGCCATACTTTCCAGGAAGTGAGTTTAGGGCTGTAACTGGGATGGGAAATGGAGCAACTTTAGTACAAAGAGTGTGTGTGTGTGTGTGTGTGTGTGTGTGCACGCGCGCACGTGCAAAATTCCCCATTAAAACGTCTATTTTAATTGGAGGTATGTTGACATAGAGCTTTATATCTTATATGGCAAAATGGCTGTATGATGTTTTATATTAAAACACAGGCCAGAGGATTTCCCTCGTTTGGAGTAAATCATCTCTAAAAAAACAAAACAAAAGAACCCAAAAACCAAACAAAATCCTAAAACAAAACAAATAATCTTTATTTTTTACAAATGAAAAAATGACCAGTTAAAAAGAAGCCATCACAAACTTTTGGAAGGTTTTTCCCAGTCAGTAATGGACTTTCCTGGCTGAAATTGTAAGTAAGTAACTAAGTGTTTCTCTATTCCCTTCTGTCACAGGGATACTCTGACCAAGCATACCGGCAGCGGAGAAAAACAATAGCAGAAATTGCCTTCCACTACAAACAGTAAGATAGACGTGTTCCTAATATCTGCGCAGCACAGTGCCACCTGCTGGAAACTCATTATACTACTTCCATAAAATGACCCATAGATTTTCTGTCTGTCCACCAGTGGTATAACTAGGGGTGGGAGAGTGGGATACCAGTCCCAGGCACAAATCTAGAGGGAACACCAGAAAGCTGGCTTTGAGGGAGCCCACATTTTACCATAGAAATGGTGGCACTGGCAACAGGAGCCTGAGTGCAGGTAGATAAGACTCTCCACCCCTTGGCACACCTTACCCCGGCTCTTGGGCATCTCTGCCCAGGGTGCCAAAATTCCTAGTTACCCCTTTGCTGTCCACATTTTCCCTCCTCCATGCTGTCTTCCCAAGTTCTTTCCCTACTCCTAGTCTGTTCATCCTACCTTCCTCCTAATTGAAAAAAACATGGTCAGTAACCTGTAGATTCACAGATTGCATACCAAAAGCCATAGAACCTAATCTAGCAATTTCTGCAAGCAATGCCATAACGTTGGTCCAAGATGTAGCATCTTTCTTTTAGAAGTACTAGAGAATCCACCCAGCCTCCAGAGAAGCTGTTCCAAGCATTCATTACCCTCATTGATAAAAATGTGTCCTCATCGATGGACCAAATGTGTTTAGTTTTATCTTTCAACAACAGTCTCTTATTTTAGCTTGCTCTGCTAGATTAAAGAACCATCTGCTATAAGAAATCTCCTTCTCATGAAGGAATTTTCACACTACAAATAAGACATCTTTCAACTTTCTCTTGGATAAGCCAAAAGTGCGGCCTCAGCCAGTTCCCGGGCGAACTCCTGGTCAAGCTCAGGACTTTGGGTGGGAGGTCTGTAATAGACTCCCACCGTTGTGTCCTCTGTGCCGTGTTCCCCATGGATTTTAACCCAAAGGGTCTCCAGTTGTCCACGCTGGTCGCCAAGATCAGCTTGCAGGGACGCGTAGCTTTCCTTAACATAGAGAGCTACACCCCTGCCCCTTTTATCTACATGATCTCTCCTGTACAGGGTATAGCCATCTATAACCATGGTCCAGTCATGCCAGGGAGGGTAAGAGATGCCAGAGGAAACACCTTCAACCTCATGTTCAATGGGCATTAGTAGATCTATCTGCCTCCGCACCACCTCCTGTGGCAATTAATTCCACAAATTAAAACTACCTAGAGGAAGTACTTTTTTATGTAATGTGTAGTTAAACTGGTCCCCTCCTAATTTCAGGGGGTGCCCCTTAGTTCTAGTATTCTGGGATTTGGTGAACAACAGTTTCTTGTTCCCTTGATCCACATCCCTTGTGATTTTTTAAATATCCTGCTTAAGGTAACTTACCTTGCTTCCTTTGTCTGATTTGGTGGCCAGTCACAAGCTGCTCAATAGTGCCCCTTCTTATAGTTTATGAGTTAAAACACTGGCTTTAATAGCACTCCAAGTCCTGCCCTTTTGAACGATCAGTAACTCAACAGGTGGCTAACAGTGAATTTAATACAGAGCCCCACTCCCTTCCCTTCTTCCCATTCCAACTTTCATCCCTAGATGTATCCAGAGAATGTTAAATTCCAGTCATGTAACTCCATTCACCAAGTTTCAGTACGATCAATGGTATCCAGTTTGTTTTAAAATAAAATGAGGCATTCCTACTGTTTATTTTTAAGGCATCTAGCACTTCTAGTTACAGACAAATGACGAATTCTTATATTCCGAGAGGCCTCCATTGTTTACAAAGTATGCTGAGTTATGTGTTTGACTATAGGCGCTGCATTTGTTCCATACAGATACTCATTTAAAACTCTCCTGAAAATGCCCTTGGTTTTCAGTATTTAGTTTTTCAATAAAGGAGTGAAATTTCTATGGGAACTATAAATATTTGACAAATACTCTGTTTAATCTTTGATAAAACAGTGTGTGAGGTGTTTCCTATTAAACCCTACAGTTGTGTATACTCCCTATGTGTCCAAGAACACTTGTACTGGCCTTATGACCCTATACTAAGTGCTTATCACTAATTGGCTCCATGACCTATATGTTAGAGGAGTGTGTTTCCCAGTATATCTGAGTTAGGTTTAGAGTTAGCTAATCAATGCCATGCAATATGGAGGATATATCAGTAATCCACAACCAGAGTGCTAGGGAACCCTGGTGTGCCCCGAGGTATGAGAACATAAGCAGATTAGCTAAGCAGATAAGCGCAGAATCAGGCTTGTGTCTGCCCAGACAATCCTTTAGAGTCATAGAATCAATGGACTGGAAGGGACCTGTAAGATCATCAAGTCCGGTCCCCTGCCACAGGTAGGAGGTCAAAGAGCTCAAACTAGCTTAAATAGGTGCTTATCCAGACTCCTCTTGAACACCTCCAAGGATGGCAGCTGCAGCACCTCTGCAGGCAGTACGTTCCAGATTCTAGTTACCCTTATGGAGAAGAAGTTCTTCCTTATGTCCAGCCTAAATCTTCCCTCTATTAGTCTGTAACCAGTGGCCCTCATCCTCCCAAGGGGTGCCTTCCTGAAGAGTTGACATATTTGTAGGTGTTTATCAAGTCACCTCACAGCTTCCTCTTACCTGGACTGAACAAACCCATCTCCTGGAGTCTCTCCTCATAGGGCCTATCCTTCAGGCCCCTGAGCATGCAGGTGGCCCTTCTCTGCACCCTCTCGAGTTTATCTGTATCCTTCTTGAAGTGCAATGCCCAAAACTGGGCACAGTACTCCAGTTGCGGCCTCACCAATGCTGAGTAGAGAGGGAGAACCACCTTCTTGGACCTGTTGGCAACACGCCCGAGTTCTGTTTGCCCTGCTGGTGACTTCATCGCACTGTTGGCTCATATTCATCTTCTGGTCGATTGTGACCCCCAGGTCTCGTTTAGATGCTGTGCCAGCCAGTGAGCTACTGCCTATTATATAGTTGTGGTGAAGTTTCTTCCTACCCAGATGAAGGACCTGGCACTTTTCCTTGTTGAACCTCACCTGATTCTGATCAGCCCATAGAACCAGTCTGTCTAGGTTGTTCCAATCTTTACCCTATCCTCTAGTGTGCTCACATTTCCCCACAGCATGGTGTTATCTGCAAACTTAATCATAGAGCATTCCATTCCCTCAATCAAATCGTTAATCAATGTGTTAAAAAGCAAAGGTCCAAGCACCAATCCCTGTGGGAAACCACTGGAGACAGTCCTCCAGGATGAGGCCGTCCCATTGATTACAACTCTCTGGGACCGGCCTCTAAGCCAGGTATCCACCCACCTCACTGTAGGCTGGTCCAGGCCAGTCCCCTCCAGTTTGACTGAGAATTTCATGGGAGACAGAATCAAAGGCCTTACTGAAGTCTAAGTAAATAATGTTTACTTCATGACTCTTGTCCAGCTGGTTAGTTATAAAAAGGACACCAGGTTTGTCAGTCATGATCTACCTTCTACAAAGCCGTGCTGTTTGTTTCTTAATACCCTGTCAGTTGCAAGCTTGTGATTGATGGCCTTTTTAACAATTTTTTCAAAAGTTTTTTCCAAGGACTGAAGTCAACTTGACTGGTCTGTAGTTTTCAGGGTCATCCCTCCTCCCCTTTCTAAAAGATGGGCACCACGTTGGCCCTCTTCCAGTCATCTGGGACCACCCCAGAGTTCCAGGACTTTTCAAATATCTTTGTCAAGGACCCTGCTATGAGTTCAGCCAGTTCTTTCAGGACTCTTGGATGTAGGTCATCTGGCCCAATGGATTTGAAAATGTCCAATTGTTTTAAGAGAACCCTCACCTGTTTGGGACTGATTTCATATTGTCTGTATGCTTCCCCATGTTCTCTGGGCCTTCAGACAGGTGCACATTTCCTATTAGCCTTCTAGAATACTGATGTGAAGTATTAATTTAGGAGCTCAGTCTTTTTATGGGGGTCAACTGTGGGCTGTCCCTCCGTATTCAGTAAGGGTCCCACAGTGGAGCTCAATTTTTTTCTTGCTCCTCATGTACCTGTAGAAGGACTTTTTGTTGTCCTTTATTCCGCATGCCAGCTTGATCTCCATGCCTGCTTTGGCTTTCCAAATCTCATACCTGCAGACTATGGTTATATAAGTGAACTCTTTCCTGGTTGCTGAATCTTTTTTTTTCCCATTGAATATGTCTTTTTTCTTTTTCAAAAGTTCTTTAATGTCCCTGTTGGGCCAAGCAGGTCTCTTGACTCCTATCCCACTCTTTGATCATGTGGGAATGGCTTCTTTTTGGGCAGTGAGAATTGGTCCCTTGAAGAAGAACCACTGATGCTGCACTCCCAAATCGTCCAGTCACTGGTCACAGAGGGACTTTCTAACTAGCCTCCTGAGTTTGTCAAAGTCTGCCCTTCTGAAATTTAGGACTTCTGTTCTACTAATTTGGTATCCTAGCCTTCCAGTGGATGGTGAACCTAATCAGATCATGATCACTGTCACCCACAGTACCTTCAGGTCCCCTTTGGTGAGCACTAAGTCCAGAGTGGCTTTACCCCTAGTCGGTCCTCTGACAACCTGTGACAGGAACAGGTCATTGATAGCTGCCAAGAAATTAGGTGACTTTCTGGAGCTGGCAAAATGGTCCTCTGGACTGATGTCAGGGTAGCTGAAATCACCCATGACAATCAGGTTCTTAGTTCTGGCTGCCTCAGTCAATTCCTTGGAGACTGCCTGATCATTCTCCTCTTCTTGGGAGGGAGGTCTGTAGTAGACTCCCGTCATCAGGTCTTCCTCTCCTGAACCCCCTTGTATCTTGACCCAGAGGGTCTCGAGAGATCTCTCCCTGCTATTAAACCTGACCTGTAGGGAGAGGTACTGCTCTTTCATGTAGAGGGCCACCCCTTGTCCCTTCCCAACTCTATTCTTCCTGTAGAGCCTATAGCCCTCAATATCCACTTCCCAATCATATGTCTCATCCCACCAGGTCTCTGCCAGCCCAATGAGGTAAACATCCTCATTTACCCCCACTAAAAAAAGATAAGCACTGTAACATGTAAGTTAGTTTTTTAAATTAGGTGCCACTCAATTCACAGAAGTTATGGAGAGGTGCCTCAAGTCCAGTGAGGGATGCCTTGAGCCCTAAAAGATTGAGAACCACCAATTACTACATCCCTTACTCTGGGTTTCTTGAGTCAGGGAGAAGGGGGGCAGGGTGCTGTCTAATGCCTTGGGATCCATAGCACACAGCACGCAATCCACTTCCTTTTATTTACTAAACCATGGTTGTCTTTCAGTGGAGATCCAATCCCTCGTGTAGAGTACACAGCAGAGGAGATAGCTACTTGGTGAGTGTTGATTTAATCCAAAATCCTTCATGGTGCCTTCCAATTGAAGCATGAGCCATTAAAAGGAACATTATTTTAAATCCCAGTCATTGGTTATGGGAGAGTGCATCTACACAAATAAGCAGATCAAAAATAGAAGAAGGTATATAATGGGATTAACACTGGAAAGTGACTTGAAAAAAAGTCAAGTCAAATGGTAAGGTTGGAAGGGACCTCTGGAAGTCATCTAATTTAATCCCAGATCAAGGCAGGACTGTCTCCGACTAAGTGCCCATCTAACCTGCTCTTAAAATGTCCTAAAATGAAAAACCCACAGTCTCTCTGGGTAACCTGTTTTGGTGCTTAACCACCTAAGAAAGTTCTCCCTAATATACAACCTAAATTCCCTTGCTGCAATTTAAGACCACTGCTCCTTGTCCTGTCCCCTGTGGCCATGGAGAATAGTTTTTCTCCATCCTGCATATAAATTACCTTTAAGATACTTGAAGACTGTAATCAAATGCTGCTCCCACTCTTTTTTTTATTTCCAGACTAATAATCCTAGTTCTTTCAGCCTATCCCAGGCCTCTAATCATTTTTGTCACACTCTGTGGGACTCTTTCCAGTCTACCCACATCTTTCTTGAGGTGTGGGGCCCAAAACTGATCACAGTACTTCAGGGGAGGCCTCACCAGTGTAAAAAAACCCAGAAGAATCACTTCCCTCGATTTGCAGGTGACACTCCTGTTAATACAATGCTGTCAGCTTTTTTTGCACCAAGAGTACACTGTTGACTCGTATTCAATTTGTGGTCCACTGTGACCCCTCTATCTTTTCTGTAATACTGCAGCCCACCTGGTCATTCCCCAGTCTACTACAATTCTTGTTGAATTTCATCCAATTTATTTCAGACCACTCCTCTAGTTTATCAAGGTCATTCTGAATCTTAGCCATACTCTCCAAAGTGCCTACAGTTTCATCCAGCTTAGTATCACCTGTAAATTTGAGAACTGTGCACTCGGTCCCATCCTCCAAATTGCTACTGAAGATATTAAGCAATACCAGACCCAAGACAAACCCCTGGGAAACTCCTCTCAAATAAAGGATGAGAAAATGAGTACTGGATCATGTCTGCTCTGATGAAATGAGTGGTACAGAGAATTAGGCTAGATGCTGAATTCACACCTTATGTTTCACCTGTCGTTCTGAAGGAAGGAAATTTACACCACACTGAAGAGTCTATACCCAACTCACGCCTGCAAAGAGCACCTGGAGGCCTTTTACTTACTGGAGAAGTTCTGTGGCTACAATGAAAACAATATCCCTCAACTGGAAGATGTCTCTCGCTTTCTGAAAGGTGGGTATTGTGTGCAAGGGGAGAGAAGAGAAGCACAAGCCAGGGGCACAAGTGGGCTCACAGGGGACTGTGTAGGCCTCCACATCCCTGGATAACCTGGTACACATACAAAGATGGTGTGTGTGAATATGGAAGAGGGAGAACTTGGGGGTTGAGGCAAGCACGTAAGTGGCATTGTGAAGTTGTGCAGGTGGTATAAAATGAGGGAAAGATTTAGCATCCTGGTGTGCACTTCAGGAGGAGCAAAATGGGAGCTAGTACAGGGAGCATTTCCTTCTGGGGAGCCTGACTGAGTTCAGTGATCAATACATGCCCCAGTCTGTGAATCCAGGTAAAGCTAGTGCACTGACACATGAACTTTGAGGATCCTAGGAAAATAGGTTGAAGAGGAGGATCTCATCACATCATCTAGTCCAGCCCCCTGCTTAAGGTAGGATCAAATCTGGGCACAGTCCTCCAAGGGAAACCTCACCCAGGCTGAACTGAGTGGAAGAATTGCTTCCCTTGATTTGCAAGTGAAGTTCCTGTTAATATAATCCAGTAGGCTGTTAGCTTTTTCTACAGCAAGAAGAGAACACTGGTGACTCATATTCAGATTATGGAGTAGGATAGGAGTCTGAAGTAGTATTTAGGGACCCCCTGTGTGCAGATGTGTATCACAGGTGTGCGAGCAAGCATAGACATGGGGAGGAGAGGGAATGAAAACTAGTGTAAAGCCATATCCTTCATGTGGGGTTGGTAGGGTGGGACTGAGCCCAAGCACTGAGATATTACTGTAAGGAACCTGTTGTCCTCAATGGAGTTTTAACTTTTGACTATTTACTGTTCTTTCTGGGCCATCAGGGAATTTATTGCCTATTGCAAGAACAAGCCCAAGGTGTCCAGGGTAGAACTAAATGCCTCTACTTACAGCAGTTGTACTTTTACTGCCTTTTTAAAAAAATGCTGAATGGCTGATGATGCATCACTTAGAGACCTGGCTCAGAGAACATTCACTGTAAAAGGCAATTGTCTGCATTATTTCAGAGAGAACTGGGTTCCAGGTCCGACCGGTGGCTGGCCTCCTGTCTGCACGTGACTTCCTAGCCAGCTTGGCCTTCAGGGTGTTCCAGTGCACACAGTATATTCGGCACGCCTCTTCACCCATGCATTCCCCAGAGCCGTGAGTACTTGCCCAACATAAAAAAAAAAAAAAAATCACTCTCCTCCATGCAGAGCTCTCATATTGTACCTAGGCAGTTTGGCACCCTGACAGCAGAGGTACATGGGGCAGTGGCAGCAGCTGTTATTTTTGCATCTCCCTAAATCAGCACCCAGGGCTGGTGCCCTGTCCCCCACCAAGTTACATTACTTCTTACTCTTTTGTCTGCTGTGCAAAATCTATTGATCCCTAATCAATCCTTCCTCTCTTCTTTCTCATGCAAGGGACTGTTGTCATGAACTTCTGGGGCATGTACCAATGCTGGCTGACAAGACATTTGCACAATTTTCCCAGGTAAACAGGCCATGTTATTCCTTGTCCTGAATGCCCAACAGTAGGCCTTCCTAATGTAGAGTCAGGGTCAGTGATTACAAGGAAACTCAAGTCAACTCCAGCCCCAGCTGCTCCCAGAAGGAATTACTGCACAGAGCTTTGTACATGCACTAGCTGTTACTGAGCTATTTGACTTCTGTCTCTTTTTAGAAACATAATTTGGAAGGCAGCATAGCTGAAGAGAGGCTGACTGCTTAAACCGAACCTAGTAAAACATGTGGTAGGACTATCAATGAGAGCTGGAGAGAGTCATCATACCATGCAATTACCCCATGGATCTACCTCATTCTGCAAGTCATCCCCAAACAAAACTTTGAACTTATTTGATTGTTTCTTGAACATGTGGTGATAATGTAATCTCAGCCTGTTCTGGTGAGAGGGATCTCTTTACTTTAAGCTCAGCTTTTGACTATTTGCTTAGTATTTCTGACATGTGATTTGCTGCTTAAGTCCTCCTCCTCATCATTTATTTGTACTCCCAGAGTGTCTAGGAGCACTAGCCATGGACCAGGACTCCACTGTACTAAGCACTGCATAAAGGCAGAACAAAAATAAATAGCTTCTGAATCATAGAGCTGACAATCTCCCTATAAAACAAGAGGAATAATCTGTATATAAACATCCTGGGTCACAAGAAAAGGAGATACTATTGGTCAGATTGCTAGGAAAATGGTCTAATTTTTAGGTTCTTTGTACAAATTAGGGAGAAAAGAAGTTGGCAGGGAGGGTGAGTTGGTTGGGTAGATGTTTAGGGAGAGCTGCTCATATTCATGGAGACAGCAGGGAAGGAGAAAGCAAAATATGTATTTGCTGGGAAATTTAAGTCACTGGGTAATAGAAGGTGGACACATGGGTTGATCAGAAGCAGGAAATGGCATCTCAATAGCAATTGAGGCTGATAGGTAGTGTCATGCTGTGGGTTCAGTTCACTGAGGCAGGAGCCACTTTTACAATGAGGTGTCTTTATTCATGCTGCCAGCACCCAGGCAGTCATCAGACTCTCTGGCTAGGGACAGAAATTGCACAGAGTGGAATAAGTGATTGGAAACTGATTCAAAACTGTAACACAACAGAAGTTCAGTGCAAATAAACCACTTTCAAAGTGCCTGAAACCAGTTTAAGATAAACCTGGATGGATGCAGTATCAGACTTCACTGATTTAGGTTAAATTGGTTTATTGAGCTTCCATCCCAGATCCCCTCAAGATTCAAGTCAACTCTCAGTCCCCCAGCATCCCAGGATGCTTTGCACCTCCCCAACAAACCTCCCCTTGCAGGGTGGGTAGGCTAGCCTAGCCCAAGTGGTCTGCTCCAGCCAAGCAGGGAGGTGTGTTCTAGTGTCCTCCAGCTTCTGGCCTGGGCCACTGAAGGCATGTGGCTACATTTCTGGAATCAAAAGTGAATGTCCATTTACTTGCTGATCAGTTCAATTTATACAGCTTAGACTAACCTGTAAAGATTGAATTGATTCAGCCTCATGCTTTTTGACTGTCTGTACTTAGCCCCTCTTCTCCAGCTTTGTCCAACTCTGCTGAACTCTTAAAAGCGTACAATCCTCACACGTAGGATAAAAGTACAGGACTTGAAGGGCCTTGCAGATATAAGTGTGGTGTAATTTCTGTTTACAATCTAAGTGAAAGAGACAGGGAAAAAGGTAGTAGTATCCCTATTTACAGATGGGAAATGAAGCATTGAGAAATTAAGTGACTTGCCTAAGGTCACACAGGAAGGCAACAGAAAAAAACAGACCTCCTGAGTTCTCCCAGTCTAGAAACAATGCCATGACCTTTCTTCCTTGTTTCCTTTTACCTCCCTAAACAAGAGGTGCCATCAGGAATGGTAAAAAAAAAAAAAAAAAAGCTGCTATAGTTTGACTTCAGAAATTGTCTGATGCCATCTACTGCTAGCCTCTGAACTGCTAGCTCTTGGAGTTCAGAGGCTAACAGTAGATGGCATCAGACAGTTCAGTGTGAGAAGGCCAAAGAATGAGCAGTGCCTGAGACTGGGGCTGACACCCAAGTCCCTAGCAAAACTAAATGGATCTAAATAGACTATGAAGCAATCTGGATTTATACTTTAGCCTTCTTCCTTCCCTTTCCAGGATATTGGACTTGCATCTTTGGGAGCAACTGATGAAGAGATCGAGAAACTTTCAACTGTAAGTGTCTGAAAAGATCCCAGTCAACTCTAGCAGCACTGTGCACTTCTCCTCCTCTTGAGGTGGCAGTGCCTTTAATTAATGAGGAAGAATGGGGTAGTAATTATAAAGCAGGTTATCATTACATGCAGATTCAGTAAAGACACCAAGGTCAGACAGTAGGTTCCTGATTCTGTGCCTGTTAAGTTAACAAAAGTCTTCTCCATTAAGTTCAAAGGGCACTGAATTGGACCCTACCCAGCAACACAGGATTTACTGATGAAATATGTTGAATGTGGGGGCTGAAGAAAAAAAAAAAGAACAAAAGGAGCTGGGCTGAGACTCTCATTAAGCCAGTGATGTTTCTCCTTGCCCCAGAACATCCCTATGGCTTTTGCATACTTGAGGGAATTGGATGGTTATGAGATCTAATTGCCTTCAGAAGCAGATGGTTTAAGGATTAAAACAGATCACTAAATGGGAGCTGGTAACAATTGTCTAGAGAGCTAGGAGGGACCTTAGAAATTTTCTCCTGAGCTGGGACCATCCATTAAATCAGCCGCAGACCAACCATAAAAAGTCCAGATCTACCGAAGGGAGACAATCAAGCAGTTCCATCATCCAGCTGCAGAAAAGTATTTGGGAGTA